TACAGAAGGAACATGTCGATCAAACAATTTTTTTCCAAAAAAAAAGGAACAGAACACGTTTTAATTGTAAAATTAGATAATACTCAATATTATTATCTGTAATTACTTTAGTTGAAACAACTCACTCAAGTAATAATAATAATAGTAATAGTAATATATCAAGGAAGTAGTATATTTGTGATAATTTTTCAATCAAAATATTCAATGATCAATGGCTAAAATTAAAACAATTTTTTTTATCTCTGTAATAATTGAAACAAAATTAAAAAAAAAGGAAAAACGAAAAAAGAAAAAAGAAATCATAGCAATAACATTCATTTATTTCAGAGGTGGGGGGGAGGAAGGAAAAGAGGAATTTAAAAAAAAGGAAAAAAAAAGTCACTCTGTCATAAATGAAAAAGATCAACAAAGTGATAAATATTCAATTATTCATTCATTCATTTTTTTGAAATTTAATGAAACAACTCAGATGGACAGTAATAATAATAATAATAATAATAATAATAATAATAATATAATAATAATAATAATAATATAATAATAATAATAATAATATAATAATAATAATAATAATAATAATATATAAAAAGAGAAGATAATATTAACTATGTAACTGTAGAAAAGGTAGATTCGGTTAATTCAATGAATATTCATATAAAAGTCTTTTTTTTAAAAAAAAAAGCCTATTGACATGGTTTGTAAGTTATTATTCGTTATAGACTAATTTTAGTTTAAGTACAATTGGTAAGTAAAGAGTACTGGGTAGCTGCTTTGTTCTGACCTTCCAACAATGCACATCCACAACTCCCTCCCAAGGAATCGAATCAATGATACGTACTATTCATTTATTTAAACACATAAATATTGGTATAAGAAGGCACCAAATAGATATGTGTCACATAAATCATTCAAATTGTGTAAAGGATTGGATACGGTTCAAGTGCCCAAACTGAGGTAGCTGGTTTTCTTAAGAGGCCACTACCCACAAGACAGTGGAGCAACGTAAGGAGATACAGTCCCGTGGTAGCCGGTGATCAACAATTGGTTCATACGGCATTTGTCCCCTTAGGATCCTGGAGCCCATGTGAACCATTGGTTTGAAATCAGGGTTTTCCAACTCCCCTAGGTGAATCCTCCATATCAACCAACCCGATTAAAACACTGAACATTCACTTTTCGTCCTTTTGATTTCGTAGACAGCACCCCTGCCGTGAAAAGGCGGTGAGTAAGACTTCCCTGTTAGCGACGTTTGTCGCGTGATCGTGTGAGAGCATTTCGAGAAGGAAAGCTGACTATCCCCACCCTCGACTGTACCAGGGCATTTGGGAGCTATAATCACTTTGACTTTATTCTATCAATTGTTTACTGAATCATTCGATATTTTCATAACTAATCGCGAAATGTTGGTACTACTTAATTGCTGTTCCCCACTTGAGTTCTCGTTCAATACATTTGGTGTCGCTGCCAAAGAGGAAGCGGAGAAGGTGCATTTCTGCGGACACCGTCGCAGGATACTTAGTTGGGGCAATCTGGTCCAGGAAGAAGACATCTAGTGGAGTGTTCTGGCACGACGATATTGGGCGTAGTAGTCGCTGTCGATGGGGGGAGGATGTGGAACGTAACGGGTACTGAGCGGACATCAGAGCTAAATATAAGTATAAGTTGTATGTAGTACCAATCAGAAGTGAACTGTCTGGTAGCAGAAGATTGAAATGAAGGAAACAAGATGGAAATTGGAGAGTAATCAAAATAACAATAGAATTATAGGAATAATGGTGTAAGTAAGAGATAGTGCAAAGATATGCAAATGATGTATTTAGTGCATGGTTTTCATATTTTAACTCGATAAAAAAATAACGCTAACCGGAAAGTAGGTGATCTATCAAATCTGAATCCAGTTTATGTTTTCAGTGATCGTTAACTATATATATTTCTATATTAAATAATCTGTATATAAGTATGTTATTTGAGTATGTACAATAACTCATGTTTGTTGACAAGTTATTCTACTTTTACATATCTATTTATAAAGGGATATTTAATCAATGAATCCAAATTTTTGTAACTATTTATTAGTCGAGTAAAATCAGTTAAAATGATTGGTCACGTATACATGGTACATACAAATTTAGTTGGTACATTTTATTAATATAGTGATTATCATAATAATTTGAATGTAACTAATGCTTCCAGAATAAAACAATTCTCAATTTATCATTGTCAACAGAATAAACTACATTTTGTATTACCTTTATGCCAAGTGCATTTGATTCCATTAGTATTATTATATATACATATATACAAGTTTTTTGTTCAATCAAAAAAAAGAAAAGAAAAATCGTTTTTGATATTGATTATGGAGATAATTCGTTGAAACATAACATTAAATGAAGGATTAATCGAGGCATTTCTTCTCTGTTTAGAGCTTATCAGTATTGCACATCCTCAATATTTCAAGGGATTCAACCTAGGACTGGTTTCAATACCTTGAAACCACTTAGTTAGAATTCAATCCTCAACATTTGATAGTAATAGTATAGTTTTTACTCAATATTATCAAACTTGTAGAATCCTACTTTATAGTTTGTTTACAGAGGAGATAAAATAATTTCTCACTGATAATTTGTTCAGCGGTAGAATATTTATTTATGAGCTGTTATCTCTGAATGGCATTCTATCAATGCATTCAAATGAGGCGTATCATTCCTATTAAAATTCTAAATACACTTTGTTAACAAGTGCCGTCAACTACCTAGTATTAACAATATAATAAAAGATAAAGATTTAAATACAAACACAAGAAATCATCTAACAACATGAATAAATTTAGATTTCTTGAACTTTTTAAGTATTCTCAATTGAAATGTTGACTAAAGTGAACAGAAGCCATGATCAACCAATTGGAATGAAAATAATTGTTTTTTAACTGAGATAATGAACCGATTGATGTTAAACCACCGTTGGAAACCTGGAAGTAATGGACAGTCGTTTCGTCCTATTCTGGGACTCCTCAGCAGAGTGCATCCACGATCTCACTCGCAGGATCCGAACCCAAGGCCTTCAGTCTCGCACGCGGACGCTTAACCTACTGGACCACTGAGCCGGCATCCAATGGTGTTAGTGTCTAACATCAACCAATCCATGAAATTGAGCGACACATCCACCATTGTCTTCAATAACTTACTTCCAGGTTTCCAACGGTGGTCTAACATCAATCGGTTCATGATCTCAATCAAAAACTTAATAATCTTCACAACCCTGTACAGATAATTGTTTTTTTTTAATTAACTGAGAGATAATCAATATGATTACAATAACTGACGGAGAAAGGAATAGTTTTACTAAAGGATTCTTTGTATACCAGCATATGATTACTGAAAATATTATGTATTTCTTAACTTGATACTGTAATGTAACTGTCATCTTTAATAAAAGACAGAACATACCATTACGTTGCTATGAGCACTCTCTTGAGCAATGTAAAATTTCTATACAGTGTGAAAACAAGTATACATATGTATATATATAATGATCAAAGGTAAATTAACCGTTAAAGGATAATAAACTTGCATAATGTTGCTGAATGAAGTATGGTAGTTAAGAGAAAAACAACTTAACACATAGAAATAAGATTATAAAATGACGGATTACCTACAATAAAAACAAAAAGAAACAACAATTTTCAAAACATTACAAAAAGATAGATAATCAACACAACAACAACAACAACGGCAACAACAAAGGGGGGAGAGTAAAGTAAGCATAGAATATAAACAACTAACAATGTGTTGTTAAAATATGAAAAAGGAAAAATGATCAATTTAATAATTCTCAATATGATGAAATAGCAAAAAATAGGCAAACAAATCAATGAAAATGAAATACTAGTCAAAATGTTAATCAATTCGTACGAGATGAGCAATGCTTAAGAGTCTCATACTAGGAAGAAATGGCCGTTCAGTGATTTCAGGTCTTTAATGGTGATCTAGCTTAGTTCGATTCATGAATTTAACCATTAAAATTATTACCGATATCTATAAATCACTATTCTGATAATAATCATGTACTCACTAGTAATTAGCTTTAGTAAGAAGCCGTAACCAGTGGAGTTCAGTCCGTGTCGGGTAGAAAAAATTATCCACTTCAGACAACGGATGAAGGATCGTGCAAGATCATGGACTAATTGGAGTTGGACATTAGCACCATTGGGTGCTGGCTCGATGGTCAAGAAGTTAGGCGTCCGCGCGAGAGACCAAAGGGCTTGAATTCACGCCCTATACGCGGGCTCGTGGATGAGCACTGCTGAAGAGTCTTACATTTGAACAAGACAATCGCCAAGTGCTCCCGCGCTTTCCATGGCGGTCTAGCTTAGACTGACTCATAAATTCAACTATTAAAATTTCATACGTATTTAAAATATGATAACCTTTGTGATAACACTTAACAATGAATAAAAACAAGCCTTTGATTTGATAGAACACAGGCTAAAGATCTTTTATGTACTAAGTCAAAATATGTGTAACCTAAGGTTAATTTAAAATAAACAAGGAAAATTAGTTTTTTTCTTGTGGTTTTTAATATTACCTAAAACTATAAACTTATTAACACACTTCGTATGGTTATTAGTTGTCATTCTAATTTTTGAATCGGTGGTGTTACGATGTATGGTAATAAATAGTAATTTTGTACAATACAACAACAGTGATACGATTAATTGTTCTATCCATATTTAGTTACCGATCAACGATGACTCAGAATGGATGCTCTATAACACTAAAAACTGAAAACCAATGTAATATCTGAAGTATGTGAATGAAACTGATGTGATATCACTGTTTTCAATTCAGTCGTTGATATCAGAGTATCATCTGGGCATCTAAGACTGAATATATTTGTGAATAATTTTATACTACTTAGAAGTAGTTACATATTTACTTTGAAAGAAACCAACTTTCATAAGTTTCATGGTAGTAAGTAAAATAATAAAAAATAAAACTTACCAGTTCCAGTTGGAGTAACACGATTAACTAATCCAAATTCTAAAGCTTCAGTAGCATGCAATTCACGTCCAGTTAGTATCATATCAAGAGAACGAGACAAACCTATTAATCCTGGTAAACGTATTGTACCCATATTCATCATTGGTATACCTGATTTTGGAATGTTAAAACAATTTACATATTTGTATTAATAAAATAAATAAAGACTTGGAAGTTCTGACTTTTTTTATCATGAAAGTCGATTCTCATAAAGATTGGAATGTCAAATACCGCTTATACGGAAGACGCGATTCATATCGTACTAATAAACAAGCATATAATCAACAATTTACCTTTTCACAATACTTTGTGAAGTTTCACATATTCTGAGTTTGTTTTTACCATAAAATTAATGAAATTGTATAGATTTGCAATAAATTTGAGATATTTGATAGTCACTTATAATTCAAGCACATCGTAAATGATTAGATTATTTTTTCCGATGCGGGTTACATATATGTATCTTTGTTACTTACTTACTTAATTACGCCTGTTACTACCAATAAAGCATAGGCCGCCGACAAGCATTCTCCAACTCCGTCTGGAGCCCCTCTGGGGCTGCTACTGGTCCCGAGCCCGGATAATGTAGGAAGAGTCGACATGGGGTTAGTGAACCCATCCCTTAAAAAATTAACTCGCCAAAAAAACGCTAACCAGAAAACATAATTCAAACCATGTATATTTGTTAACTGCCTTCTAAATAACTACGAGGTATTAGGAATAAGTTGCCATTTACGAATGAAGATATTTTAATTTGTTTCAAAACTGACAACAGGATAGTTTATCAGAAATTTTAAAGCAGTAGTAACCTACCGGTTAAATTACTCAATCTACAACTACAGGGTAGAATTTTCCATCTGTGTACAAACTAGTTGAATCTGGTTGATCAACTAGTACCACCATGTCATAACTTGTGGCCTGTGTCCTTATCAATGTATAAAGTAATGATACCACCAATTAGAAAACAGTAATTTATCGACCGAACCAATCACACATAAAACCTGGACGAGCAGTCTAGAGTCCTTAGCGGTCCTGCTTCCCACCTAGCCCTGCCTGTTAAGTCCAGAACACCAATCTCAGCCTCTGCAATATGAATCAATATATTTCAAACATACTCTGTGTATATACCAACTAAACAGACCACATCGTACCATAAAATAGGAAACAACATTTCTACAAGATTTAGCCAAAAGTGGTTGTGAATAAGGGAGATAGTAATTGATAGACTGGGCATAACTCGAGAATGGTAAATCGTATAATAATAGTTCATAGGTCAAAATAAAACCCATAATAAGAGGAATAGTTTAGTTATTTAACAACTATATGATAAAAATATACGTATAATATTAGTCCAGAAATAGATTTCAACAGTTACCATTCACTATTCTCATCGGGATATAACACAGTAACTACTGTATAAATTCTGAATTCTAGTCAGATACCCACTAACTTTCACCTGAAATATTAGATTTTTAGAGATTTCAATAGTTGAGATCATGAGTCATTTGAAGCTAGACCACCATGGGAAATCTGGAAGCACTGGGAGGCCGTTTCGTCCTAGTATGGGAATCCTCATCAGTGCGCATCCACGATCCCGCCTCCCGCGACATTCGAACCCGAGAGCTGTCAGTCTCGTGCGCGAGCGCCTAACCACTAGATCACTGAGCCGGCATCTAACGGTGTTAATGTCTAACTTCAACCAATCCACGAAGTTGCACCACTGCACACCATTGTCTTCACTGCTGAGGAATCCCATACTAGGACGAAACAGCCGTCCAGTGCTTCCAGATTTCCATGGTGTTCTAGCTTTAATTGACTCATGATTTTAACTACTCAAATATGACAAGCCATCTGAACTCGCAAAACAATCATAAATGAATTTATGCTGTTAAAATTTATCTATGAAATTTGTTTAAAGAAAATATTTTCCACAAAATCAGGAAAATGCATTATGATGCTATAAATCTAAATAAAATTTGCTAGTAATCTCAGGATATGATACAGAGCATGAAGTTAATACATTGAAGTCCTTCAAAGGAATTAATAAAAAATTAAACTTCAACCTTTTGAAATTTACCGAAAAGATAACAATTAAACGTTTAATATCAGATCTATGTATCCAAAAAGAGGCAGTAATAAATCTTTCTTTGCCCTGGTAACATTGACTCCCCCCCACCTTTTTATTTATTACATCATTCACTATTGCAACTCTTTCTGAATATTTTAAAATTACATCATTCATAACTGACTAATTTCAATTCATATCTTTCTTTATTACCATAAATCTGTTTTCAGTTACTTCATTGTATAATCATCAACCCCATGAGGTCTCGTTGGGATATTCAGAAAAATATCCCAAAAATTATGCTGTTAAGTCTAATGCTATCCTTGGACTTGGAATGGTATCATTTTCCTATTGGTCAATGCTTATTTCACGTGTCATTTTCCTGTTGGTCAAATATTGTACAAATGTTATTTACTATTTTATGGTACGATGTGGTCTGTTTGATTGGTATATAAACAGAGTATGTTTGAAATAAATGATTCGGCGAGACTCTAATTTGGGGACGAGCCAATCAGAGGCGTTTTAGCAATTTCAATTATTAGCCAATCAGGAGACAGTATAAAGTAAAAATATATTACAAGAAAGTAATGAATTACAGTGGATATTCTTCTTTTCCATGATTAACAAACTTCTTAAGGTTTGATAAAGGCTCAGAAGCTCTGAATTCATAATGCATACGGTATAGAAACTCGTCCATAGGGTTAGGGTGCTAACATCTGATCGGTTTACATCGCATTTTTAGAGAAGAGGTGTTTATTGAGAGGCTACAACCCTAACCCTTACCCTAAACCCCAACCCTAACCCTAGGCTACAACCCTAACACTAACCTCTAAAACCCGTTGTAAACTGATCGCATGTTAGCACCGTAACCTAACCATAACCCTAACATTAGCCCTAACCATATGGACGAGTTTTTATACCATATGCATTATGAATTCAGAACCTCTGAACCTTTATCAAATCTTAACAAGTTTTTAAATCATGTAAAAGAAGAACATCCACTGTAATTCATTACTTACTGGATAATATATTTTCGCTTTCCACTGTCTTCTGATTGGCTAACAATTGACAGGGTCATTTAAGATTCGTTCAAATGTCGTCCCTAAATTAGAGTCTCGCCAATGATTCATATCGCAGAGGCTGAGATTGGTGTTCTGGACTTAACTGGCTGGGCTAGGCATGAAGCAGGACCAATCAGAACTCTAAGCTGCTCATATGGGTTTACGCGTCCTTGTTCCGATCGATAAGTCACTGCTCTCTAATCGGTGGTCACAAGTTATAACAGTTCTGATCATTATTTCAATGTTCTGAAACTTCCCCTCTCAAACTTTATTTATTCGAAGCAAAACTTTTTATGACCTTCTTGAACTTTATTGAAATCTTCGCTATATCATGATATACACATATATTCATCTTTCATCACCCTCATATGTATAAGTATGTCGATATCTGTAATAACGTTGATTTGAGAATATTATAGGTTGTAAACAATTGATGAAAACCTAATGAAATAAAATGAATTCATATTATTCTGCATGGAACTTCCTTCTTGCTCTCTTTAAGATAACAAATGTAACTACGTGTATGAAATCTTAGATTCACCGTTTTTTGTCTATTTGGAAAAGAATTATAGAAATGAAAGACCACTTAAATTTTTTTAATCTTACTTTGAATGTGAGACCTGTCATGGGTTTATGTCCGACTTTTATCACGTGATTTATCCTCCAATCAAAATACGACTTATACAATCTTAGCAGTGTGCCAAATTAATGACGTTCGACTGGTATGAGCAGCCTAGAGTCCTTATTGGTCCTATGTCCGCCTAGCCCGTCCACTTGAGTCCAGAACACTAAAACCAGCTTCCACTATGCGATCCGAATCGAATCGAATCATTTATTTCAGACATACTGGGTTTATATATCAAACAAACAGACTACAACGCACCATTAAATAGGAAACAACATTTGTACACAATAAAGCCAAAACGTGACTGTGTATGTGAGAGGCAGTAGTCAATAAACTGGGCATAGCTTAAGAACCGTAAATCGTTTTTGTGCTAAATTAGAAAGTTAATGACAACTTTATTATTTATTTATTTGTTTATTTGAACACATAAGCACTGGTACAAGGGGGCACCAGATAGAATGAGCTACACAAATCTTATTTGATTTGTATGAGGGCTGTGATACTGCCCGGGTGCCCAAACCGAAACAGGTGGTTTTCTTAGGAGACCACACCCCGAGCGTTTGACTTGAAGGTCTGATCCACAAGGCAGTGGAGTAAAGTAAGGGGATGTAGTCCCATGGTAGCCAGTGGCCAACGATTGGTTCATACGACATTTGTTTCCTCAGAGTACTGGAGCCCATGTGCACCATTGGTTTGGAATCAGGGTTTTCCAACTCTCCTACGTGAACTCTCCGTGTCCAACAATCCGATTAAAGCGCCGGACATTTGCGTTTCGCATTCACACATGACTCACAGGATTTAGCAAAGGTTTTATTGATTAGATCCTTAAATCGCTTATCATTGAGTATCTATGGTTTCACGAAAGACCTAAAAATAAATTGATCTTTCCTAAAATGAATAAGTCAGTGTAGAGGAAATATTCCGCTTTAAAATCCATGAAACTGATTATAAACCTTAGAAAAAATCATAAGTCACACTGCCCTTCTAGTAATAGTCCCCTGATTTTAAAGATCTATTTACTTTACGGATAACAATGGACATAAAACTTTCATGGTCATTTCTGACGTTACTCAAGGTTATAGGTAGATTAAAATTCTACCAACGTGACAGCTGCATTATTTAATACACAAAAATTCCTTTAACATCTTGAAGAAAGCAAGAACAAAGATCTGAGCTCACTACGAAACTTCTCTTAAATAAACTTAAAACTTCCTGGACTAGGAAATTAATACGTAAAATGAAAAGTGATGTTTTAGAACAATAAATTAAATTCTAAATTTGGAACTTACTTACTATCAATTATTTTCAACTTAAACTTAAACACCCTAAATAAACCACAAATGATATTAATAAGTACTTGTTAGAGATTTTTATAGGAAAAGTTCATAAGGTATGAGAATAAATAAACTGACTAATTTTGATGGAGTTTTGTCCTTTGAGCTGGATGGTTTCGTCGTGAAGCTTCCATCACTATTCTGAACGACATCATTGGCACGAATTTCAGATAGAAGTGTAGTGTTTGAATTTCTCTACATGTAGTTAACAGCTTGTCCTGTACACCTCGATGCTGGTTGGTTCTTGTTGACCTTAAACTTGTCATTGTTTACTTCTTTTTTTTGGTTGTATCTCGCATTGGTTTGATTTTTGTTCCTATGTTTGTCCATAATTTTCCTGATTGGTTGATAAATTGGATCGATTTCAATGTGCTTGTTGATTGCTGATTGACCTGAGTGCCAAGCTTATAAAAATTCTCTGGTGCTTTTGGAATTTCCTCTATCCGAAATTTCCACATTTTCCCAGTCGATTGTGTATCCAAATCCTTCACTTCTATCTGATGTTTGTGCTGATGATGTCGTTCAAAAGAACGATGAAAGCTCCACGACCAAACCATACAGCTCAGAGAACAAAACTCTATCAAAATCATCCACCTGAACTACAAATCTTCTCCACCATCTCAAAAGTGATTAATTAAATATTTATTAAAAAACTAATTAAATTAAATTATGGACAGTATCAATTAAAACGACTTACAATGTTTTCGTTTATGTAAACTCAATATAGAATCAATCTCAGCAACACGTAGATCACATGCTAATGCTAGTTCTAAACCAGCACCGATAGCTTTTCCAGTAATTGCTGCAATAAGCGGCTTTGAAAATGTCAATTTAGTAGAATCCTAGAAAAGTAGAGTATAATAAACAAAATATTTTCCAAATTTAAATGTATAATTGTGACATCTTTGATGTTCGTTCTAAACAATTAAACTTCTACTTAAAGTAAGTGTTGATGATGTTCAGAATCACGAAAACTTTTTACTGGTTGAAATCATGAGTCAATTGAAGCTAGACCACAATGAAAAACTTGGAAACACTGTACGGTCGTTTCGTCCTAATGTGGGACTCCTCGACAGTGCGCATCCACGACCCCACCTAGAGGGATTCGAACCATTGCTTCCAGGTTTTCCATGGTGGTCTAGCTTCAATTGACTCATGATTTCAACCAGGGAAATTTCTCAAATCTCCACAAAACCCCTTCTGAAAACTTTTTAATTAAATTACTCAGTTTAGAGAGCGTAACATTACCAAAAATATCTAAATGAAGAATACATTTCGACCATTTCCACATCCATGATATATATATCAAACAAACACGTGATAAATGAACATATAGTAGTAATCATTAGTAATGTATAAATAGAATGATGAAGTAACTGATTCTGTCCTATATCACAAAGTAAATGGAATGGTATTTCAAACTCGCAAATTAATGATAAGAAATTCTATGTTTCAACAATTCAATAATGATATATTATTCTCCAAATGTCTTGTTATGGCCGACAGTGGGGAGAGTCAGCTCTCCCTCTCGAAATGCTGTTACATAGCCACGCGTATACAGCCACCCGGGCAGTATCCCAGCCCTCACACAAATCGAATGATTTATGTGGTGCATATGTATTTGGTACCTCCCTGTATTGATGTTTGTGTTTAAATAATAATATTATAAGAATAAATTTAAACTTTATCAACCTTTGAACTTAGACAAACATACTAAACAAATTCATTTCGAACCAAATTACACACAATGGATAATCAACTATTTCTATAAGATTACATGTAACCTTTACAATCTGTAATTCATTTATCCACTTTAAGCCAGGTTGATTACATAACAACCACGAAATAAATAATTTGTTTCAGATTTTCAAAATTGTACATTGCAATCACAAAATATTAATTCATAGCTCAGTTTTAAATTCTAACAAAGATTTACTATTCAAATACATAAATACTTATTTAAATTACCTGAGCCTGTTACTCCTCGTGAAGGAGCATAGGTCGCTCACCGGCATTCTCCATTTAACCCTGTCCTGGGCAATCCTTTCCAGATCCTTCCAGTTGTTATCCATCTTTTTCATATCTGATTCTATTTCCCGACGTAATGTTTTCTTCAGCCTTCCTCTTTTCCACTTCCCTTCAGGATTCCAAGTTAGGGCTTGCCTCGTGATGCAGTTTGATGATTTATGTAATGTATGTCCTATCCATTTCCATCGTCCTTTCCTAATTTCCTTTTCAACTGGAAGCTGATTCGTTCTCTCTCACAGAAGGCTATTGCTGATGGTTTCCGGCCAATGGATGTTGAGTATCTTGCGTAGACAATTATTTATAAATACTTGCACCTTCTTGATGATGGTTGTGGTAGTTCTCCACGTCTCAGCTCCGTACAGTAGAACTGTCTCGACATTCGTATTGAAGATTCTCACTTTGATATTGGTTGTTTTGAGTTCCATATGTTCTTCAATTGTAGGAATGCGACTATTGCTTTGCCAATCCTCGCCTTTACGTCTGCATCTGATCCTCCTTTCTCATCGATGATGCTTCCCAGGTATGTGAAGGATTCTACATCTTCCAGGGTTTTTTCATCAAGTGGGATTGGATTGTTGTTCTCTGTATTGCATCTGATGACCTTGGCCTTCCCCTTGTGTATGTTGAGGCCTACTGATGCAGAGACTGCTGATACACTGGCTGTCTTTATCTGCATTTGTTCATGAGTATGCGATAGAAGGGCTAGGTCTTCTGCGGAGTCTAAATCGTCTAATTAGTTCTGAGCTGTCCATTATACTCCGTGTTTCCCTCAAATGTCGAAATCCTCACGATCCAGTCGACCACCAGAGGGCCCGTGATCGTTGCCCGGCATTTCCACATTGCAACAACCAGTTGCCACGCTCTTAACTCCGCCTGTAGCTCTTCGAGAGTTACTGCCGGTCCCAAGCCCGGGTAACGGAGGAGGGTTGGGCATGGGGTTAGCGACACCATCCAGTAGAAAACGAACTCGCTAAAAAAGTGCTGACTATTCAAATAAGAATAAGAAAATAAGTATACACAAAAATCAATACAATAAATATAACATACTATAGATAAACATGAATAAAGTTTATTCAATGATGTGTTATCACAAGTTGGATTTTGTTTTATATAATCCGTTAATTCTTCCATATCCAAACCCAAACAAAAATCTTTTCCTTCACCATATAATACACCACCAATAATATTATCATCTTTATCAAATTGGTTGTATAATATATCATTTAACATTGAAGCAGTTGTTTGATTTATTGAGTTACCTTTCTCTGGTCTATTTAAACCGATAAGTAAAAAACGTCCAATTTTTTGTGTTAATACGCATAGATTTGAATTCATTGACATCTAGATAAGTGAAAAATAAACAGTAATATAAGATTAGCAGACAGTTGTGAGACACTAAACTAAGATAATTCATTATAATAGTTAATTAAAAGACAATTTTCATTATGAATCAATGCTAGTTGTAGAATGATTGGGAAATCGTAAACATTGGACACATGTTTTTGTGTTATTTTATCACTTCCCAACAGTATGTACTTATGACCTTACGCAAGATTGAATAGTGTTTTTGGAACTTATAAAAAATAGGGTATGTTTACGCCGTTGGATAGGAATCCAATGGCCAAAAATTTTAACTTCAGTCAATAAAGCTTGATCCTTATATAATGTCATTAGAGATTGGTGGTTGGAAGAAAGTTAGGGGCGACCAAACCAAATCGTGGCATCAGTGCTTGAAGACACTAACTTCTAGTCTGAATCATGTTGGTAGATACAGACTACGTGGTTGGGGTCTGTGGGACTATCGTAACCAATGGTTGGAGGTTCTGAGTGACATGGCTCAGAATCGATCATAATGGCATAAATGTATACACTATCTGTCTTCCCTTAAACTAAAAGGTTAAAATCGCTTCATATCTTTATTTCTACGAACTAATTCGTTCCTGTTTTATGTCCTTATATGCTATCTTTCTTTTTATATTACCACCACTGAATTAACTACTATGAATCTGGTGTTCATCTTGCTGTACGAATGAGATATGGCAACTTGGACCGATGCATATATGTGCCTAGTTCTACGTTGTAACTGACTGAACATGAAAAACCAATAAAAGTAACACTACAAAGTTATTTAGTGATGGTTGTCGGAATTCCGCAGTGATCAAACATGATCTTCTGAATCTAAAGCATCAACAAAAATACTCGATTGACTTAGGTTTCGTGATACGTAGGAAGCATGTTCGAAATCTTATCAGGACTGACAACTGTCATGAAACTCGAAGTAATGTTATATAGTAACACAGTCAGAGACTTCATCATAATTACTCAGGTCACTTAGATATTCCTTGATAAGACCTTTAGAGGCTAAGTAAGTGCTGTTAACATTTAGCCCAATCTATATCCATTGGGAACACTCTGATAAACTTCTACAAAACTGAAGGAGTGTGTATTACACTATGATTAAACGATTACTTGTTATATTTGAAAATTATATGTATTCCAACGTTTCGTCTAGACAAACCTGTCTAGACGAAACGTTGGAATTATTTAAATTTTGATTACATATAATGTCTTCGCTACACTCGGCACCCAATTTTTGTCAAACTATTCGTTCTAATATTGACGAACATTTGTGTATATTACTTATTCTGTTACTCGATTTGGCATGCATCAAAAAGTTTAGAGAAATCGAAAATTACCAGTAAACCTAGAAATACTGCTCGTTTCTGTATAGTAACCAACGTTAAAATGAAGCTTTAATTCTTACTGCAGGCGTTTTTTTCCACCGTTCGGAGCCCAAATACAGGATTATGTGGATCTGGAAAACGAATAGAAAGCCAGTATCAAGCGTTCGATAAGTAGACCGATCAGTATCATATTTGTTTAATCCTTAGTAATGATCGTGAAATTCCAATTGTCGTCAGCTAACTTATATTTACCATAGCAATGACAAACAGCCAACGGTCTTACAATTCACCATCGTCCTACCATCCACGCTAACAATGTCTCTATCTATTATACGACTGAACTACCAATAAGCGAAAATCGCTGAAAACTATCCTCCGTTACATCTGGGAAGATACTTAAGAATCTGGATGGAGTCATTTACATATATTATCTATAAGAAATAACGAGTACCGCCTGATGTGTAAATGGACGATACTTAACATACTGTTCCTAAAAATATTAAGAGATTAACGCTGGATTTTCTAAATATTACACAATCACCTGATAATTCCGATATGCAATCACAAAATACATAATCATGATCTTTGTGATATTCAGTTATTTTTGAAAATGCATGTGATGTTTTTCGGAGTTTTAAAAAAGGAAGCAACAACCAGTTAATTGGTATCTAAGTGATAGATACATTTTTACCTTATATGTCACACTTACAAACTATTACCAGTAGCCATAGATATTACTAACCTGTCCATCTGTGTTGCCTTATCCTACCTGTTTCAAATTAAGGTTTGATAAAATAGAGACAATATACAACTACGTACGGATTTGCTTTATCCTGTCTACGTTATTAGAAACTATCTCACACCACACTAGTGGAATTTGAATAAAGGAAACTTCATTTATAAATCTATTTCCACTTAAATATTCCAAATATGACTTAATATCAATCAATTCTTCCAAAATCTACATATTTTCTGGTTGTGTATAACATCTTGTTCTGTTCGAAACCAAGCGTTATCCACTTCATTTAAGTCAGTCAGTCGTAAACAACGTAGAACTTGGGACACAAATGCATTGGCCGGAGTTCCCATACCCAATTAGCATAGTGAGATCAAATTATGAAGACAAATAGCTAAGCGATTGAAGCAGTATCAGTGATAGCAAAAAAAACTTTAGGAATAGAGAATATGGTTCTAGAATAAATAACGAATTCGCGAGACAGAAAGTACGAAAAAACTAAGATCTAGGAGAAGATGAAGAGTAGATGCATAAGTACCATTGCAACTGATTCTGAGCCATTTCATCAATATTCAAATGTTGGTAACAAGGATCCCATAGAACCCCGCCAGATAATCCATATTTGCAAACATGGGTTGGAACAGTCAATGCCTTCATGGACTGATGCCAAGTTTCAGTTTGACCACCTTTAGTTTCCTACCAGCATCAATCAACATAGTGCGTCAAGGTAAGTGGTGGTTGGGCTCACATAGCACATATCGCAACCACTTCAGTTGATGAAGATTTAGTTTTTATCAACCAAGACGTCATCCTCCCGTAGTATCACGCGTACGATCTCAGTACAAAACACTCGGTCGTTTCATAACATCCAAGCATTACTTCGACGACATCCCTGTTCAAAGGGCTGCGGCCTACGCACATTCTCTACTTGTATAGACTATGTTTTACAAACACATAGTTATACAGAATGTACTGCTGTGCAGTTAGTTATCGAAATAAGATCGACACGAGAGCTTGAAAGTTAAACACCAAGTAATTGTTTCACTGTCAGATTCTAAATACGAAGATCTGCTACACCTAATTACATCGATGTACAAATCCAATAGTTACAAACCTTCCCAGAAATCTATTTCAAGAGTGACCTAAAAAGCAATCGGGAGAGTAAAGTTCGAAAGAAAACATTCAAGAATCATATCACAGACGGAAAATTACTCCACACTGATGAACATGTTTTTAGATAACTGGTTGTCTCCTCAAAGGCTTACTGATGATAGCGTTTATAACCCCAGCAGATTCGCAATTAATATTCATCCAGTATACACACTACAAAACAATCTAAGAGATTCACCTTTGAGATACTGACAAAGTTTATCCATCATCTTAGCAGCACAACATCGACAAAATCTTCAGAAAACATATAACAAGTGTGACTTAACTAAGATGTCACCCAATCAAATCAAATCCAACACAAATGTGATTAGACAATTATTCCGCATAGGTTCGTTTTTGTGACCTTATTTTCAATTTACACCATTGATTAATCACAGTTAAAAAAACCATGAAGCGCTGGACAACTGTTTCGTTCTATCATGCGACTCCTAAACAGTACGCGTTGAACCAAGAACTTTCAGATTTTCCGATGAATCCCTAACCTTTAGATCAATAAGGCATTGAGTAGTGTACAAGTCTAACTTCGACCGATTGGCGAAATTGCTCTCCCCTATATGATACCTTCAAGTATTCACTTAAAACAGTTCAGATTAAACGACTGGGTGATTTTTTTTACAAGCACGCTTTCATGACTAAATAAAACACAGTTTAAATCTAACTGTAAGCAATAACTTTTTTCTATAAAAATGGCAAGATAAATAATTAGAACAATAATTATACTAATAACTAATAACAATTATTATTATTATTTCAACAAACACGAAGAAAGAAGATAAAAACAAAGAGTATTCTACACTTTTCCGTATATTTATTTAACAATTACAAAAATCGAATTAGAGGGAAATAAAAGAAAGACGATTCGATAAAGTATTATGGATTACCGCCGGTCTCAAGCCCGGATAAAGGAGGAGGATCGAGAATAGAGTTAGCGGCCTTATCCCATAGAAAATTAACTCGCTAAAAGTTAAAAAAGCTAACCATCGATTATTAGCAGTTCAGAATTTAATGCAAGCAATAATAAAACAAAAAATAATAAAATGTAGCAAATCAATTTTGAATCTTGCTTTGTATTAAATTACAAAAGTTAAAAAGATTAATAAAAGAGAATGAAATTTCTTTTCTCAGAAATAAGAAACAATGATAAACTCTAATATATCTGTATACATTTATATGTTAAGAGATATATGTGAAAACTTTATTCATGGAGTATTTTGTTTTTAGTAAAATAATTGAAATATAAAAGAGAAGTACATCAGTATATCAGGGAAGAAAAATTCTACTGGATTTGACCGAAAAATGTACCTCTTTGTATCATTCATGAATGTAACAACAAACAACATACACACACACAAAAAAAACCCCTAACAACAATGAAATTAATCTTCTTGGTAGCTCAAAGTGAAAACTATTCAAATAGAAACTACAATATGAAGATTTATTCAATATCTTACAAATAATAATAATAATAATAACAATAATCTGTTCGCTTATACATAGGACAAATGTTCTTCACAATTATATAAGAAAGAATTGTCATTTATTGATTTATTTATTATAAATTAATATGTTTGGCTTTTGACAAGCAATTGATGGTTTACCATGTAATACTTTAGCACGATCCATAAAAGCATTTACCATAACAGTGACAACTTGATCAAAAAATAATCCAGCAATTTTTGAATAAATAGGAGAACGAAACTCGAAATCAACCTGGGGGGAAAAAAATTATTTTTACAAGAATAAAACTTGTATTATTTATTTATTAATCATTTAGAATGGAACAAAACATTTATGTATTCAAAAAGATAATGAATGTAGAAATGATCATGATCAAGCATACAATATTGTTGTATCCCGATAAGAATAATGAATGGTAATTGTTGGGATCTATTTATGAACCAATATTATGAGTATATTTTTATCGTATAATTGTTGAGTAACTAAACTGTTCATATTCATGTCCCTCTTATTATGAGCTTTATTTTGACCTATGAATTATTATTATACGATTTACCATTCATGAATTATTCCCTATCTGTTAATTGCTACCTCCTTCATTCACACCCAAATCTGACTAATTCTTGTACAAATATTGTTTCATATTTTATTGGTAAGTTGTGGTCGGTTTGTTTGGTATATAAACTCAGTATGCTTGAAATATAATGATTCATATCTCGGAGGCTGACATTTGCGTTCTGGACTAAACAGGCTGGGCTAGACAGGAGAGCAGGACCAACCAGGACTCTAGGCTGCTCACACGCGTCCTTGGTCCGATCGATAATCTGCTGCTTTCTAATAGGCGGTATCATTGCGTTATACAATAAACAGGGCACACAGATTCACAAGTTATAACAAATATAGACGGTGAACTTTTCACATGATTCGTATATAATTGACTCATTTTATTCAATTTACTAAAGTCAACATCTAAATATGATTGGATTAACACAGTAAAGATTTGATATGGATTGTTAAACACTGTATATTTACTTGATGATTTTGAAGAAGTCCAGACAAATTTGTTGGATGAAACATTGGAATTATTTTAAATTTCAATCGCTGAGATTATTTATGAATTTTTTATGTCCCTTCTCATTTTTCTCTTTCCAAATTTATTTCACTGTATTATACTCCTTAAATAACATCTCCAAACTCTAATCTTTCCGATTACTGCTTATAATCTTACTACTTCTACCAATACGGGATTTGAATCGACAACTGCAACTCTGTGCTAATGTGGTATGGCAACTAGAACTGATGTACGTATGTACGAAGTTCTACGTTGTTACTAACTGACTGAGATTATTTCAAACATAATTTTCACATATAATGACTTTTCTATACTGGGCGCCCGATTTTTGTCAAACTATTCGTTCTGATATTGACAAATATTCGTATAAGTTGAATTACAATAACTTTCAAATAGAAGAGAGGAGGTTTAGAATAAATAACACCCAATAGATCATAAGTCTGTTATTAATTTTATCCCCTGAATTCTGTCCTTGTACTACTATGGTTACAGTAATTAATTATTACAATCCATTAACGAAGTATGAAAGTGATTGAATACTTAAACTATTCAGACTCCCATTAATATGTTCCAAGCTTTAACTTACTATGGATTAAGTTGGATAATAGTATAACGACAGCTCACAACAACATTGTAATTCAGAGCTACACATATAAATTTGTACTTTCTAAAAAGGGATATATTTTGTTTGTTTGAAATTCAGTCACATTTGATTTGTATATGGATTAGTACTACTATTTGTCATTTAAAACTGGACAGGGTTTGAACCTGCAAATGAATAGTCGGAAGTTGAACGTTTTAACGGCTAACCCATTAGGTAACTGAGTATGGACTGTGATTAATCCAACTGTTGATTAGACATATATATGGATAGACCAACAGAGTCCTAGAATACGAAGTGGGATCTATGTAGGACTAGATAGGTCGGAAAACTCATACATAACATTTCGACATTGTCAAACTACAAGCTAATAAGATAGGAGACTTTTAAGACAACTCTTATGTCTCAGGAAAAAGCAATCATAGAAATAAACATCACAGTATATATGGTACCGTATAGGACAACTAATAAGAACAAATGTAAACTACATGGTTGGTACATTATGAATGTCATAATAGGTCAAGGCATGGAAGGTTAGTACAACAATGGTTGCGGTGACTACTGACAACACATCACAATCATACTGATTTCGGTTGATAGTAACGAGAGGAATGGAACTTTCCTGTGTAAAACAATCAAGAATTGTACATATATTGTAAAATTCAGGTTATATGGTTTAATAAATTCTATGTGGTTAGTTTAAATATGCAAGAGCAACTTGCATACGTAATTCAACATAACGTATGAACGAGAGGTTATTCATAAGGTTGCCCTCTACTCTCTAAGTAACATAGAGTTGTCATTCAAACGAAGCGTTCAACAATGAACCAAAGAGGAAAACAGAGATTCGCAAATTTACCAATTACGATGCATTGGCATTAACTGTAATTTCGATATCTTCAATGTCAACCAAATACTGGAAAATCTTCATTAAGCCGAAAGTTGTGATTTTAATTAACTGATTCACCACATTCCTGGGTATGACCCAAACTAAGTGCGGGGGTTAATGATACTGCTTACGTGATAAAATTGAAAATACATGATGGCGTTTGATAGCTAGTTAGTGTTCATACGGTCAAAGATTAGCAGTCTAGCGTTTCTCAGAGTTGGAACAGTTTATTTTATAGATGATATTTCACTTTTTCTTTCATTTGTGTCATTTTATCGTTTCGTTTCCATAAGGTTAAATGATATGATTTTGTTGGCCTATATGCTACGATTATTCTAAATGGCCTCAGAAATCTTGTTGTAATTGGTTATATGTCCTTTATATTTAGTGGGATGGTCAATTCGCTGAGTTGTCGGTGGAAACCAAGCCTATTGTAGCACATGAACCAACAAAATCACATCAATTAACCTTATGAAAACCAAACGATAAAATGACAAAAAGGAAAGAAAAAGTAAAATATCATCTATAAAATAAACTGTTCCAACTCTGAGAAACGCTAGATCAGACAAAATAGACTCTGCTAATCTTTGACCGTATGAACGCTAACTAGCTGGCAAATATCATCACTTATTGCTGCTTATATGAATACATATAGACAATTTTAACGAGCAATCAACGCATCGAAATCGATCTAATTTGCCAACCAATTAGAAAAATTACGGACAAAAATAGGATTTACAACCAGGTCGAAGAGGCAGGCAATCAAAAATGGATATGCAAACAACAGGTTAAAGGTCAACAATAACTAACATTACAAATTGTCAGTAATATGTAGAAAAATTTGAATACTTCACTTTTAACTGAAGTTTGTGCTGATGATGTTCAGAGAAACAATAAAAGTGCCATGATTAAACCTTCCAGCTCAGAGAACAAAACTCCGCCAAAATCAAATTGTACTAGCCAGATAAAAAAGGTTGGTTAAAAAAAATACCAATATCGTAATATAAGGATGCACTCATTATTCAATCATTAAACCATTTACTGCTGAAAATTAAAAGAAACCTTGATCAATAAACTAATAATTACTTCAAATACGGTCAACTTACGGAAAACTCTACAAAACAAGAATTCGGATTCTCTGGGAGACCTGGATGAAAATGCCATTCATTAATTAAATGATGAAACATTCCAGCATTTTGTGCGACAGACTTAAAAATAAATAGAAAGGAGAAAAGTAGTTGATTTACGCTATGCGCTCATCGTAATAAAAACATTTCAAATTATTTTTAAAAGTAATCAAGAACTGTAGTGAACGAGAATTCAGTTGAGGAAAACTAATATATTGTTTAGTGTAAAACTAGAGTGCTGTAGTAAGATACAAAAACCATACATTAAAAACATTATTTCTACGCTTTTCTTCAGTTGTCCTTTACAATTCTGTTATTACAATCGTTCTGTTTACCTTGCTGTTCTCTTCAATTCAACCTTCTGCTAGCGGGCATCCCACTTCCGATTGCTATTACATACTATTTATATCTGCAACATAAGTAGCATACGTTACAGAACAATTAAGTGAACAGGATGAAATGAATTCACACAATTGACTAATCGCTGAGTAATGACAAAGATCAAGACTATATAGTCCTTCATAGTGTTGCTAAGATCCCATCGATCAAGTCCCAAATGTTGCCACTAACCTAAGTGACTCGATATTGCATACATTATGTTTAGATGTCAGGTGGTTAGGTCGTGGTTCGGATAACTTAATAGTAACGTCTCATACTGTGGCAGATTGACCAAATTCCAAAAACTTGTCGCAACTCTAAAATAAGCACTGAAGATGTATTAGATTAAGGACTTTCTAGAAATCTTGGATGGTTTGCATACATCCCATTCATATTTTCCTGATGACTTTTATCCTAAGTATTATTTATCAACTCACGTAGTGGATGAGAAACCTGGAGGTGAATAATGTATGACATGGCTTGCTGGAATGAAGAATGGTTAAGTTACATTAGTATATGCCTGATAGTGACGACTACTCTAATGAAGTGCTAGTGACTGTACAACCGAAGGGCTTGATACAATATCAGACAGCTCAGAATAGAATCTCATGGGAACCTTGTTGCAGTTTTAAATCATATTCTTCCTAAACAGGTGTTTTTTGGACCACAAATAAATACCATTTCGTAACGTTCTTATTTAGACTGTATTCTTTGATACCCTTTATTTATATTTTCCATGATATTACCACAAGTTATTTTTAAATCAAGCAAACAAAAAGTAACAGACACCCTTACCTACTTACTTACTTACTTACTTACTAACTTATGCCTGTTACCCCTCGTGAAGAAGCATAGGCCATCCACCAGCATTCTCCATCCAACTCTGTCCTGATCAATCCTTCCCGGTTGCTATCCTTCCTTTTCATATCTGCTTCCAATTCTCGAAGCAGTATGTCTTTTAGTCTTCCAATTTTCCGTTCCCCTTCATGATTCCGAATTAAAACTTGCTTCGTGATGCACTTTGATGATTTCCTCTATGTGTATCCCACCCACTTCCAGTGCCTTTTCCTAATTTCCTCTTCAGATGGAAGCTGGTTTGTTCTCTCCCATAGTAGGCTGTTGCTCATGGTATCTGGTCAACGGACATTGAGTATCTTATGTAGATGATTGTTCATAAATACCTGTACATTTTTGATGATAGTCGTGGTAGTTCTCCAAGTTTCAGCTCCGCACAGAATAACTATCTTGACGTTGGTATTGAAGATTGTGATTTTGATATTTGTTGACAGACAGTTGTTTTGAGTTTCATGTGTTCTTCAATTGTAGGAATGCGACTCTTGCTTTGCCAATCCTAGCCTTTCCGTCTGCATCGAATCCTCCGTATTCATGAATGATGCTTCCCAGATGCATGAAGGTTTCCACCTCCTCCAGAGCTTCTCCATCAAGTGTGATTGGGTTGGGGTTCTCCGTATTGTATTTGAGGACCTTGCTTTTTCCGTTGTGTATGTTGATGCCTAATGGGGCAGAGGCTGCTGCAGTACTGCTTGTCTTAACCTGCATTTGATGATGTGTATGGGATAGAACGGGTAGATCCAAATCGTATAGTTGCATCCAAGCTCTATCGATTGTATTCCGTGCTTCTTCTCAGATGTCGAGGTCGTCATAATCCAGTCAACCATCGCCTGTAGCGCTTCTCGGGTTACTGCCGGTCCCAAGCCCGAGTAAATAAGGAGGGTTGGGCATAGAGTCAGCAACCCCATCCCGTGGAAAACAACCGTGCTGAAAAACGGCAACTAGAATAAACAAGTTAAACCATCTAAACTCTGCCCTCAGTTGAACAATCTTCATTTGGAATGAACACCCTACACTTTATATTTCTCATATTCATTCATAGACAACAATGAACAAACACATAAATATTCACTCACCTTTAAGTGTTTCGGTCGCTGAAATGTTATTCGAGACATGTATGATTCACTAAGTGGAGGAAATCCAACACCCAAACAAGCTAGCATGTTATTTTCACCTTGTTCCAAAACAGTTGATTGGTTACACCAAGGTATAAATTCTGAATAACGACCAACGTCAATTGCAATATCAAACATGTTTTCCGGAGAATAACTAGAAATAATTTTTTACCGAGACAAAACATATGATGATAATGAAGTTTTAGATATAAATAATGCAAAAACGAGAATGATCTAGTTTGTACAATACAACGAAAACAAACAGTGATTTACTTGAGAAATAAATGGTACAATCAGTGTGAGAATTTTACCTACAAATTGTTATATAAAAATAATTGACGAGAAATCATTTCTTTCTAAATGTCATGTTTATCAAATAACAGTCAGATATTGCATAATCCAGTCGAATACCAGAAGAAAGAGAGAGGGGGGAGAGTAAGCAGTCATGTTTAATTCCGTTCCTCAACTGGAATGCGTCTGTCAGCTGTTCTCCACCCACGAATTTGCACTTTAACCCGCCGTATGAAAGCGAATCTCTGGAGCTTTACCCTGGATGATAGATAGAGAGGACCCATATAGAGAAGTTGGAAAACCCTGATTTCAAACCAATGGTTCACATGGGCTCCAGGATCCCGAGGGAAGAAATGGCGTATGAACCTATTGTTGGACATCGGTTACCATGGGACTGTATCTCCTTACGTCGCTCTACTGTCTTGTGGATTAAACCTCTAGGTCAAAGGCTCGGGTGGTGACCTCCTAAGAAAACCAGTTGCCTCAGTTTGGGCACCCTGACCGTATCCAAGCCCTCATACAAATCAAAGTATTCGTGTGGCGCATATATATTCGATACTTCCTCGTACCAATGTTTATGTGTTTAAGTAAATAAATAAACAGATTTTGCAGGTTAACTGACGAAATTATGTTGCATGTAAAAAATCCTGTGGTAACCAAACGTTACTTTTCATTTTGCACTAGAAAACTACAGGAGTCCACAAAAAGTATAAACTATAAGATTATCCTACTTGACTCTTAACATGCCCGAACAAACAAGCAAAATGCAACGGCAAATGAGAAAAGTTAGTCTGCAATTACTTGGTAAAAGATAAGGAAACATAACCTAGTCACTGATAAGTAATATAGCTACGACGTAAGTTTCACTCTACAGTCTAGTTAGAAATGTGAGTCTATACGTTAGTAATACCTACTACGGGATTCTACTGTCAGTGAAAAATGCTTCAAAAACAAATAATATTAACATATGTATGTCTTTAATACTTCTAGGTAATTTCATCTGTTGATGTGCGGGATACCTGGCTGTTTGGAGATCGATTTCCTAGTCAATCCACTTGAGCTGACGAGTTTATTTTAGATAATAGCGATTATAACCAGGCCCAAAAAACAACCTCCATCATTGTGCCGCACATATTACGTTATTGGACAAAACAAAACGTATGGTTATAAGTATTTACTATGACTGCAATATATACTGTGAAATGACTTTATAGAATGTAATTAATTAACTTCAGAAATATCGATTTTTTCTATCAATATAACCGACTTTTTAAAAATAGCTGTGGAACTAACCCTAACAGTCTTCTTTCTTTGTAAGATTGTGACTTTTTGGTAAACGTAGGACCAAAACTGAAGATCTCACGCTTGAATACAATCGGAAGATTTGACGTAATCAAACAAGGGTATTTTGGACATATATTCAAAATTTTTAAACAAATCATCGGAAATAAAGGATTACTACGTTTGATTATATCACCCACAGTAGCACCCTATACATTTAAAAACAGAATAATTAAAACGATAGATGTATTGTTATGATTTGAAAGCTATCCGAAAAATCTGCTTAAGTACATCGTCCCCAACATAAACTAAAAACGTTAATCATCCAACAAATACTCGCTTATCATAGGCTGTTATACTCTGGCATTTACATCAACAAGTTCATTTCGCTGTGCTAAAACAGCACAAAAACTTGAACCGATGCATATCTGCGGCCGGTTCTACGTTGCTAATAAATGAATGACTGATACAAGATTTTTTATGAGCTCATGGATAGGGTATAGTTACCACAATTAAACTCGTTTAGATGAAGAGATCTTAGAAAGAGAAAAATGCGGAAGGAGAAATGGATGAATGTCAATCATAAATTAAGTTGAATTCCACAATTATGGTTACCTTTCTCACGGTAACAGTACCTAGTGGCAATAAACACTTAGGCAAGTTTAAAAATAAACTTCCTGAACATTCTAAATGATAGATAGTGGTAAGGTTATTACACATGACTTTCAAAATTGAAAAGCTTACTAAAGCAGTGATCGACACAGTTCCTATGTTGAAAAAAATAGTGTTCCTGTCCATAATGATAGATTGACTGGCAATCACGAAAATATTCCTCGACTTTTGTGACGGAAATGACTGTAATTACATTAAGTTGAATACAAGCACAATCTATACGTATAGACTAGTAAGGTTGTTAGTCTGGAATTAATAAGATAAAGTTCAGAAGATTTCTTTCCACACTAAATTATCAAGTGCAGGACACTGTAGTCAGGAGTTAAGGTTTAAACCAGTAAATGTAGTTTGAAGATGTCGACCAGAAACTAGGCACAAATACGCACCAGCTCCAAAATAATGGCAACGAAACTAGAACAATATCACTGCATGACTTTATTGTTCTCAGGAGAACTGGCAGTGGACAAGTCATGTAAGGCCTATGAACTTAAATAAAGAGTGAAATGGCATTCAAACTATAAGAGTATAAATCTTACCCCATACAACGGAAGTCCTAGCAACAACAACTAGAAGCAACTCAAAGCATCATCAGAAACCCATCCTCCAAATAACCCGCTGTAAGCACTAAAACGTTATTGGACAGAAGTAAGCAATCAATGATTCTCTATTACCCGCTTATTAGTAGGAAAGGATTAATGAATAGAGAAGAACATAATTCCGGTGATGGTCTGTTGGAAATCTCATAATCGCACACAATAAATAACATGTGCATTATACATCGTCGCTCACTCCTTTAGCTCAAATGGTTCAAATAGTTGTTCAAATGGTTCAAATGGTTGTGGACGGAATAGAAGAAGCTTTCGCTTAACAGCCTTCCGTGTCTAGTAGCGGGAGATCACCAAATCCTCCAGGTAGGAACCTAGGTATGTTAACAATAAAGTAGGAAAAGAAATTGGTAAATCATAGTGTGATACTGTCCTTGGTCCTTAAGAATAGGTCAAGTTGCCTCTTGAAGGACTCCTGAGAAGTCGTTTGGACTAGCTCGGCTGGCAGCGAATTCCAGCTTTTGACAACTCTTAAGGAGTAGAAGTTGTGTCTACATCCCGTCTTGCTATGTTGAGTTTCCAGTTTCTGGGTGTTACCCCTTAGGTTAGTATTCGAACTAAGCTTGAGTAAGTGTTTAAGAGGATGTCCAGAAGTGTTAAGAATACTATAAGCCATTAATAAATCACCTCTAAGACGCCTATACTCTAATGGGTAAAGGTCTAGTGAATGGAGGCGTTTTTCGTAAGGCCTAGATTTGAGTCCTCGAACTGATTTCGTGGCTCGCCGTTGGATACGCTCCAAAGTGACCTCGTCCTTTTGGAGTGAGGGGGGAGTACTATATTTCTGTACTCTAAATGGGGACGGATAAAACTATTGAAGATTGTATGGAAAGTTCTTCCGTCAAACTGGCCAAAAATGCGCTTGTAGCGGTAAATAAATCCCCAAACTAAATAGCTCAATAGGTTTTCGACATTGGATGCTGACCATATGTTTTAGTGGACTCATCTAGCTGAAGGCGCTCGGTCATGCATCCGCACCAGATCACGTGCTGTCACGCTGTGCTCAACAACAATCGCAATCACTAGCCAGATTAGATCAGAGATTCCCGATATATTGGTTATTGCCAAATACACTCTTCCGATCTCCTCGACTCTGTCTTTTGATTTCTCTCGGTGGGAACAAAGCATATTAGAAGGTGTTATTGGTAGAAGCGTTGTCAAACACTGAATACCTGTATCATCCTCATTGGTGAGACCGTCGTGATCTGGTACACCTAACTGCAACTGTGAGTCTGTTCCTTTTTGGGATTTTTATATATTATTACCTTTTTTTTAAACATTGTGATTTTTTTTTTCGTGTTTTTCCTGGGATATATATATATATTTTTCCCTCGTTCGTTATCGTACTTCATATTTTCATCATGGCTGAACAGACACCCAAAGTACTCAAGCTTAAGACTTTGTCCCCGCCTTCGTTTCAACTCATGCCTTTCTGGCCCGACAATATCGAAGCCTGGTTCTGCTACGCAGAAGCTGATTTCTCCGAGCACGGCGTGATCGACACACGTGCACAATTCCTCGCAGTAGTCAAGGCACTACCGCGCGAATTCAACAGGTACGTAACACCTAGTATGTTTACTAGTGATGTTTCCGAACCTTACGAAATCCTTAAACGTTCGATTCTTAAACGAGGAGACCTAACCGATCGACAAAGGTTAGATCAACTCTTCAATAACATCGACTTGCAACACGGTTCTGCGACTGACATGTTGCAAAGAATGAGAGAAGTGATAGGCCTAAGGACTTTCGACGAAGGTCTATTTAAACAACTTTTCTTATCTAAACTTCCTCAACAGGTGCAAGCGGTTCTGGTCTCATTTCAGAACAACGCCTTAGACGAGCTAGCTGCATCTGCCGATCGTATTTTAGAAATAACGAAATCGTCAACTTCAGAGGTATTTTCCGTCAAAGAAAAGCCTCACGCGACTCAGAATGACATAACCGAGTTATGTCATACACTCACGCGTTATCTTAATCTTCGTAACGACCGTAGTCGCTCACGCAGTCCACGTAGAAGCATTTCGCGTAAACGATCTGTCTCTAGACCACGAGAGACAGATAACCCTGACTGGTGCTGGTATCATAACCAGTATGGGAAATCTTCCAGAAATTGCAGAAAACCCTGCAATTTTCCCAACACGAAAACGACTGATTCGAAAAACAATTCGGGAAACTTCCAAGCCGGCACGCGTTAACGGCAACCGTAGCCGGCGAACATAGCCGTCTGTTGTACGTCACAGATGTGACAACGAGAGTTCGCTACCTCGTCGACACTGGCGCAGAAGTTAGCGTTCTCCCAGCAAATCTTAACGACCGGCTCCACGAATCAACTCTAAACTTACAGGCGGCAAATGGAAAACCAATCGCCACGTATGGCAAAAGGTACGTCTACCTTAACGTGGGTTTACGCAAACCCATTCATTGGATTTTCGTTGTTGCAGATGTTTCTATGCCAATCATTGGTATGGATCTCCTACAACATCATAATCTAATCATCGACACGCGCAAACGGAGGCTAGTAGATGGAAACACTAAATTATCCGTTTGCGTAACTTCTTTTTCTGGTTGTAGATTATCCCCAGTCACAGTTAAGCATTCGATAGACCCACTCTATCAACCACTACTCGACAAGTACCCTGGGATACAACAAGCTCAAACGAAACTACCGTGTGTAACCAGCAATGTTACACATCACATCACGACTACAGGACCACCTGTATTCTCTAAAGCACGACGACTAGCTCCGGAAAAGCTGAGGTTAGCGAAAAACGAATTCGATCATATGATAGACTTAGGAATCATACGACCGTCAAACAGCCCTTATGCATCTCCGTTGCACATGGTCCCTAAAAAGGACAGCAACGATTGGCGTCCGACTGGTGACTATCGGCGATTGAATGCAAAAACCATTCCCGATCGTTACCCGTTGCCACACATTCACGATTTGACAGCTACGTTGAAAGGTACAACTGTCTTTTCGAAAATCGACTTGGTTAAAGCGTATAACCAAATCCCTATGGCTACAAACGACATACCGAAAACAGCTATCATAACTCCTTTCGGACTCTATGAATTTTTGCGAATGCCGTTCGGTTTAAGAAACGCTGCGCAAACTTTCCAAAGATTCATAGACGACGTCTTTCGAGGTCTCAACTTCGTACATGCGTATGTTGATGACTGCTTAATCGCAAGTCCGGACAGAGAATCACATCTCAAGCATCTGGATCTTGTTTTCGAACGATTACAAAAACATGGCATTACTGTAAACGTTCAGAAATGCCAATTCGGAACCGACTCGTTAGATTTCCTAGGACACACTATCGATGCTCAAGGCATTCGACCCCTTAGGACCAAAGTGGCGGCCATTCTGGATTACCCAGAACCGACCAACGTCAAGCAACTACGCACGTTTAACGGCCTGGTAAGTTTCTATAGACGCTTCATACCGAAATGCGCATTACTTATGAAACCTCTTACTGACCAACTGCGTGGAAATGCGAAATCCATTAATTTGGACGACACCGCACGAAAAGCATTCTCCACAGTTAAGGAACTGATCGCTAAAGCAACAATGCTCGCACATCAGGACACTGAAGCACCCATTAGTATCGCAGTAGACGCATCCGACTCGGCAATCGGAGGAGTCTTACAACAATGGATTAACAACTCCTGGCAACCCTTGGCATTTTTTTCTAGACGGTTGCTAGACACCGAATCGAGATACAGCACATTCGGTAGGGAACTCCTAGCTATGTATTGTGCTGTACGGCATTTTCAACACTATATCGAAGGCCGCGAATTCACTCTATTCACTGACCATAAACCGCTCACTTTCTCGTTAAGCTCTCCTTCTGACAAGTACTCTCCCCGTGAGTCTCGACAACTGGACTACATTTCGCAGTTTACTTCAGATATTCAACATATTTCTGGAGCAAACAATGTAGTTGCAGACGCCTTGTCTCGAATAAACTCCTTGAACAGTTTCCAAGGAATCGACCTTCTTAAACTCGCCCAGCTTCAAAAAGAAGACACTGATCTTCAGCAAGAGTTATCGTCCACAACCCTTAAACTACGCATCAAACAGATGGGAACAGGTAAGGAAACCTTACTTTGTGACACATCTACAGGTAGAGATCGCCCAATCGTTCCGAAACATTATCGACGCAATGTCTTCAACACATTGCACAAACTTTCTCATCCAGGTGTTCGTGCAACCATCAAGCTCATAGCAGAACGCTTTTGCTGGCCTGGTATGAATAAAGACGTGAGGGAGTGGGCACGCTCCTGTGTAAGCTGCCAAAAATCTAAGGTCATCAGACACAATAAATGTCCCTTAGGCTCATTTAAAACTCCCGATGCTCGTTTCGACCATGTTCATCTGGATTTGGTAGGACCTTTACCAGATTCAAATGGATACTCTTACCTCTTGACCTGTGTAGATCGTTTCACTCGATGGCCAGAAGCAGTACCTATCAAGGACATCACTGCTGAAACAGTGGCCCGAACCTTCGTCGAACGATG